CGTTACGTCCTATTCAACTTCTTTCTCGCTCTTCCCGCGGCTATTCACCGCGGGATTCTATCGACGCGACGGGAATCACCGACATGCACGTTCCATGTCGCGTACGCACGTACGTGTGTGCGTGTGTCTGTGTGCGTATGTGTATGTGTGTGCGTGTTCACGCGTGTACGTCTATTTATGCGTCCAGACTATGCCCTCAATTAACGCGGACGCATACACATAACAGTCTATCAAGCATGCGTTTCTACGACGAGGCTAAAATCCGTTCTCTCAGCGAGGCTCGCGGCGTGCGAGTGCAATATCGCGAGTGCGAGAGGCGTGATTTTCTTTCCTTGGACCTTTGGTCGGGGATCGGGTTGAGGGTAGGCCTGGCACATTTCGGGGTGCTCGTCCGCGGGAGCGTCGCGATCGATTACACGCGGCGCCCATAATGTCCGCGTTCACCGGCTAACTGCACTAAAAAAAAATTCTTCCCCGAGAGATAAACTATTTACAGTTTAATTACTACCCCGAACGTCACTCGACGCTCGGTGCTTTGTGCCGTTGACGGAAAAAAATGTTGGACTATTAAAAATGGAACCGGCCGTAATAATATTCGCTCTGCGCGGGGTAAGTAGCGCGTTTGTTTTTTCTGATTACAAATTGACGAGCGGATCGATACCCCCCCCGCGATGAAAATTTCATCGAACGCATTTGCTCGCTGTTTAATTTTCAATAGCAAATACGTTAATAGTTGAGCCGCGGGATTAACGTTTTATCAAACGACTGCAATTACCCAGAGATTAAAATTTAATTTGTCATTTTTCTTATCTCCAATTAACTCGCCCAATTTTGCTAATTACGTCCCCCCTCCGCCCTCCCCGAAATCGTTTTTCAGATTTCGATTTTGGTACGCGCAATTTTCGGAGAGCGCGCAGACTTACGCGGCGTCCCGCCTAATAAACGTTAGCATAAATATGCTCAGTCTTTCTCGAACCGCCTGAGACTCGTGACGTACTCGTACATTGAGAGAAAAGTCTTTGAAAATTTATTGGTGGCATATGACGTTTATTTCAGTGAAATAAACATTATTTGTGGCATATATAATATTTATTTCAGCGAAATAAACATATAAATGTTTATTTCGCTGAAATAAACATTATACGCCACAAATTAGTTCTCAAAGACTTTTTTCTCAGTGCACTGTAATTTTATCTATCGACGCAACCCTACGTAATGCAGTACATCGCGTTTTATCTAACCTGCATTTTATACGGAATGCACTCGAGAGGAAAAGACTTGACGCCGTAACCGCGTGCCGAATCGAGTTTGGCCTTTTATTTTATATTCGCATTATATATATTACGGCTTTTTCGAATATGTACGATTTATTTTTTCTATTCGACATGTTATCAAGCGACCTATTCTTCTCTTCAAGTTTCAACGTGCTGAAGAAGACGCAGTACAGTATCGAAACGCGTACAATCGATGTAAACTTTTGTACTTTTAATCGAAATCGGGTATTTTTATGTAGAACAAATTTGCTCAATCCAATAATAATTGTACTTTCTTTTGCTCGTATAATGTATCGGCCGTGACTTTGAATTTATGGTAAATGGGTTCCACCGCAAATTAGAGATCGTCGAGAAACGCCTATGAAAACCGCGTTGCGCCGTTATTCTCGAGCTCGTCCTCGTTACCGTCGCATTTTACTCACGTTCTAAAACTCGTACACGAGTGACCCGCGCGCGAACATTAACCCAAAGTAATTAGTCCACCAAGCTGCACGTAAAAAGGTCACGATTGAACATTGTCCGCGCATAATTTCAACTTGCCGCAATGCGAAGTCGGTCAAATTCGATTCTTGGCTCATCGACAAAATTGAAGTCTCGTCTTCGCAAAAAACAAACACACACTCACACAAACACAACAGGAAAAATCTACTAATAACAAAATGTCCGTGATCAAGTACGCATAAAATAAAATTGTGCTTCTAACGAATTGTCGGAACCGATTACAGCAAGGTGATAAACATCGTTTGCTTTTCTATTATCTTACGACTCGATTCGCATCGGGTTGACGCGCCGAGGGAGGTGAATTCTGAAAAAGTCTGCGGAAAATCGTAAGAAGCGTATGAACTCATTTAAGATCCTATCCCTTTAAATTATTTTTAAAGCTCGATGTCGATTCAATCCTTTCTGGACATTCTAATATCGATCGCGAATCCCTAAAAAAATTTAACAACCAAAAGTGCACAGACGTCTAAATACCTGCCAAAGGCCTCGACGTTTCTAAAGATCTCCGCTCCTCGAGTAAAATTCTCCCGGCGAGACTTCTGAGAGCCTCGTTAGGATGCACGGGAGTCGAGGGTTCAACGATCGTTCATTTTCTGAATCGCTAATCGACCGGCGCGGGGTTGCGCTATAAAAAAAGGGGAGGAGAGAGAGAGAGAGAGAGAGAGAGAGAGGAAAGGGGCCCGCTTTGATTTGCATCGTAAATAGCGGCGGGTAAACAGTCCCTGGGAAAAAGGGCCTCAAAAATCACGCTGGGCGGCATATAGCGCTGTCGTGCAAAAAAGAAGGGCAAAAAGTACACCGGGGATTTTTTTTTCACCGTGCGCGTCAAGCGTGAGGAGGGGGCGGGGGCGTATGCGGGTCGAGGGCGGGCGGGAGGTAGAAAGGGTGCTGAAAAAGAGAGGCAATAGGACGCGTAAAAAAAACACCGAGTACAAAATGCAAAGTCAGCGGCCGCGCTCTACGCTCCGCGAGCGCGGGCTCGCGCGCGCGCGTGTACGCGCGTTTCTTCCCTCCTTTTTTCGGTTCCCTCCTTTCTTCCTTTCACGTTCTGCGTTCTCGTCCTTTGCGACGCAGACGCGCGTACACGTGCACGCGCGCACCCGCCTCCCTCGTTCTTCGCTCGCTCGTGCTTGCTGCTGCTGCTCTACTTGCGCGTACGGTGTACGACGGACGCCGGGGAAAGGTGCGCATTAAGCTCTCACGGTGGTTCGCAGTTTGCATAGCTTGGCGACGTCGTGTAATGCGCGCCGGTGTCCGCATTTATGGGCGACGTCGCTCGCAAAACGCGGATCGATGGTACGTGAAGGTCCTCCTTTTTCCGCGAGATACGCGCCTGGCGCAAAAAGTTTAGCGTTATCCTCCTCTCCAAGAGACGAGTATGGCTTTTCGTGCGACGAGACGCGAGATCCGGGGAGTAAAGCCTCGTCTACATAGAAGTCGTAACGTCGTAGTCGTAAGAATAGTCGACTATGATTGGTTAATTCTCATGTGTCTCACTGAATCGACCAATTACGCGGGGTCTACAGTGCGAGTCTCAGAATCGCTGTCGTAAGAATAATCGACTGTAATTGGTCAATTCGGTCAGACACATAAGAATTGACCACTCATAGTTGACTATTCTTACGACTACAACTCTGA